CAAGAGAACTGAAAATATAAGTTCCAACAAAAACTGGTACATGAATATTCATAACAGTTACTCATAATACTCAGTGAGAACAACCCAAGTGCCCATCAACTGATGCATGAATAAACAAAATATGGTATATTCATACAACACAATATTATTTGACCATAAAAACAAAGGCTACACATGGATGAATCTTGAAAACATTGTGCCAAGTAAGTGAAAGAAGCCAGACACAAAAGGTTGTGGATTATATAATTCCATTCATATGAAATGTCCAGAATATGCAAATCTGTTGAGACAAAAAGATTAGTGATTTCTAGTGGCTGGGGGACGAGGGGATTCAGGAGTGACTGCTTCATGGATATAGGGTATTTTCTGAGGGTGATGAAAATGTTCTGCAATTAGTGGTGATTGTTATGCATGTTTATGAACAATCTAAAACCCACTAAATTGTATATTATAAAATGGTGAACTTCAGCAAGATTTTACAGATGAGAAGTGTGCACATAAAAATATGTCCAACCTATGAAGTAAAGGCAAATTAAAACCATTGTGAGAAGAGGAGCCCAGAGAGATATCATGACTAAATGTTATATGGTATCTGGGATGGAATCATGAAACAGGAAAAGGATCTTAGCAAAAAAGTAAGGAAATCTGAATGAAATAATAGACCTTAGTTAATAATAATGTGTCAGGGCACCTAGGTGGCTCAGATAAGCGTCTGCCCTCAGCTCAGGTCGTGATCTTAGGGTCCTGGGATCAAGCCCCATGTTGGGCTCTCTTTCTCAGTGGGTAGTCTGCTCACCCTCTTTCTGTCCCCCACTTGTGCTTGCTTGCGCTCTCAAATAAGTAAAATCTTTTTTAAAAAAATAACGTGTCAATTTCGGTTCATTAATTGTCCTAAGTGGACCATACAAATATGATTAAAAGGGTTAGTTCTTTGGGATGGTGAACCTGTTCTTGATCTTGACCATGATTAATCTATATGTGTTAAAATTCATAGCAATGCACAATAAAAATAGTTTAAGTGTTCATTTAAAAAAGTAAAATTCGGGGCACCTGGGTGGCTCAGTGGGTTAAAGCCTCTGCTTTCAGCTCAGGTCATGATCCCAGGGTCCTGGGATCGAGCCCCACATTGGGCTCTCTGCTCTGCGGAGAGCCTGCTTCCTCCTCTCTCTCTCTCTCTCTGCCTGCCTCTCTTGCCTACTTGTGACCGCTGTCTGTCAAATAAATAAATAAAATCTTTTTTAAAAAAGCTATTAAAAAATAAAAATAAAAAAGTAAAATTCTTAAATGATTTAGAAGAATTGGAGAGTAACCAAGAATCCACAGAACCTGGAGATTTGATCCTTGAAGGAAGCGAGCTGCACTGGGTGAGATCTCTCCTTACAAAACTTTCTCCTTAGGACACTCCCCAGTCTGCGCAGTGTGGGTGGCTAGAACTCTTGCAGAAAGCCACAGACTTCTTGGCTTAAGAGAGCAGTGGATTTTAGTGAAGAACTGGGAAAAATGGGGAAAGGTGGTCAAAAGACACAGACTCCCAGTTATAGATAGTCCCGGGAATGTCCTATACATCATGGTAGCTATAGTTAAAAAAAAAAAAAAAAAAAAAGATATCAGTGGGTGAAGTTCAGACCAGCTGCCAGAGCAGCTGGATATTGAGGGAGAATACCCAGAAAGGAGATATCTGGAGAGAGGAAATCCCCCAAACCTGCTTATGAAATCCCCTCAAATCTTTGGGTGACCCCCATACTGCAGAGCTACTAGGTGAAACTCCAAGGAGTCCAGCAGAAAGCAACAGCTCGAAGGCAGGAAGAGAAGGGCAGGTATTTCAGCTGCTGCCTGCTCCAAGAGAGACAGGATTTATAGTTTGATTTTCATAAATTCAGAGGGGTTTGGATAAATGTCTTAGATTGTCCACTGAAATCCCACAGGGGCCACGTCTTGGAAGACTCCGCCCGGACTAAGGCATTCACTCTAATAATAATGAGGAACCTTAAACTCACCATTACAAATGTTGAACCCAAACTACACAGATACAAGGTCAGTTTCCAGCTATTAATTTGACTGCCTGCTAATACAAAAATCAACATTCTTTAGAAGATAAAAAAAAAAAAATCCAGGATCTGTATAAGGTGTCATACCCACCCAATGTCCATTATCGAATTTTTTAAATCATAGAGATGCCCCACCTCCAAATGTAACTCAATAGTAATAGAATTAATAGAATGGCAGTAATCCCCAAATGTTGTGGGGAGCAGAATTCGAAGCAACTATTATAAATATCTATAAGAGAGTTTAAGGGAAAAAGTTATAATGGATACATGAATGAGAAATCTTAACAGAGAAAAGAAAAAGAAACCTAGAACTGAAAATAAAAAATTCAGTGAGTGAGTTTAACAGCAAATTGACGGAATCCAAACAAAGGGTCAGTGAAATCAAGTATCAAGAGACTTCTCAGTCAAGGGACTGAGAAAAAAAATACTGAAAAAAAAAAAAGACCTATCAAACAATATTCAGGTGATGGCATTAACTGGAGTTCCAGTTTTCAGAGAAAACAGGGTAGGAAAATGTGATTAATTAATAACAACAAAAATCCCTACGTTTTGTAAAGACAAAATTTCCAGATTCAAAAATCTCAGGGAACCACAAGAAGATTAAATAACCACTCTTAGACACATCACAATCAGACTTCTGAAAAGAGAGATAAAGAGAAAATATTGAAAGCAGCCAAAGATGATAAACACATGACATACTGGAGAACAATGGTTGGAGTTCTCATTGACTTGTCACCTGAAACCATGAAGGTCAGACAGTGGGGGAGGGGGGAGTCTTTATTTAAAGTGCTGGAAAAAAATCATTAATAATTCTACATCCAGTAGGATGAATGAAGATGATATATAGATAATTTTCAGATAAAGAAATCATCTAAGAGAATTTATTGCCAGCAGACCTGCACAAGGAATGCTGAAGGAAATTCTTCAGACTAAAGGGAAATTACATCAGAAAATCTTAGACCTTAATGAATGAATGAAGAGGCCAAACAAAAAAATACAGACAACAAACCGGTATTGCCAGAGAAGAGGGGGATGGAGGGACCGGTGAAGTAGATAAAGGGGATCAAGAGTACACTTACCTTGATGAGCATTGAGAAATGCAGAGAGTTGTTGAATCATTTTATTGTACACCTGAAACTTACGGAGCACTGTGTATTAAGTAGACTTCAATTAAAAAAAAAAAAAGAATGGAAGAGGATCAGAAGTGGTAAATGTAAAAGACGATTTTTGTCTTCTTACTTTCTCTAAGAGATAGGACACTTTAAAGCAAAAATTATAACATTAGCTTCTGGTTTTTATAGTATATAGTTAAAACACACATAATAAATACAGCATAAAGGATAGAGTAGGGGATAGTGGTAAATGGACTCATGTTTACAAGTCTCCTACATTTTACATGAAGTACGATATTAACTCTAAGTAGACTGTAAAAAGTTTAGTAGGTATATTGCAATACTTACACTCAAAATTAAGACAGAGGTTGAGCTAACAGTAGATAAAATGAAGATAAACTTGAATGTGTTGAAACAAGACAGGAAAGGGAGAACAAAGGAACAAAAATAAAAAAGAACTAAAAAAAAAATGGTAGACCTAAGTCCAGCCATATCATTTATTATATTAAATATATATGGGCTAAACAGTTTAACTCAAAAGCAGAGATTGCCAAAATGAATAAAACAAGATTTAACTATATTCTGTCTACAAGAGCTGCAGTTTAAATATAAAGAGATTGATATAAATATAATAATTTATATAATTATATATTATATTAAATATAAATTGAAAGTAATAGGATGGTAAAAGACAGAAACTCCAAATAGGGAGCATAATAACAACAGATGAAATAGACTTCAGTGCAAAGTGTAGTAGCAGAGATAAGGAACATTTTCATAACGATACAAGGTCAACTTATCAGAAAGACATCACACTCATAAAATGTTTATGTATCTAATAAGTTTCAAAATCCACAGAGCAGAACTCAATAGAATTAAAGGGAGAAATAATAGATCATCTTGCAATTGTTGGAAGTTTTAATGTTCCTCTCCTAACAACTGATAGAAAAACTACCAAAAAATCAATAAAGACATAGATGATCTGAACATTATCAACCATGTTGACCCAATTGATATTTCTAGAATACTATAAATGAGCAAAACAAATATTTTTAAATGCACTTGGTATATTCACCAAAATAGACCATATGTTAGTCGGTAAAGCAAGTCTCAACATGTTTAAAGGGAATACAGAGCTTCTCAGACCTCAGTTGGTTGGGGACAGGGCACTTGGAGTGCAGCTATCAAACTGGCTGGGGCCTTAATGCTCAGGACAGGGCCCAAGGGCTTCCTGCTTGGCTTCCTTGTCTACCTGAGGGACAGATGGCTTGTCCTCCCTGCTCTGGCCACAGAAGGAGAGCACTCAGCAAGGTGTGGAGTGCGCCACTGCAAGGTAAGCTGCTTGGGGTAGGTGCTGGGATTCCAGTGGGGTTCCTCTGTGCCAAGAGGGAGGAGGTGACCAAACCCTTTGTAAGAGCAAGAAGGGCCAGAGCAGGGTGTTGGGGACTCAAGGGAAGGACCCGCTCTGCCCCAATAGGGTGCCCCAATCCTGTTTCTGACTGAAGGTGACAGCCAAGGGCAGTGACCCCAAACTCTTGCCTCCCACAGAGGAACAGTGTCTGGGACTAGACTGAAGGGGGATGGGAGGTGCTGGAAGTTCGGGTCAGACTACAGTCACAGAACCAAGGGCCACCACAATGGCCCACAACAGCAGTGACATGACCCCAGTGGGTTGAGGTCCTGCAGGGGCCTCAGAGAGAGGGCCTGACACCCTGGTGCAGGGCTACCCTCATCATTCTGTTCCCCCGAAACCCGCAGGGTGAAGGGAGGAAAAGCTCAGGCCCCCAGCAAAGCCCCAGTGGAGTAGAGTAGGCAGCATTGTCAGGACGGGGCTGGGCTCTAGCTCCCAGCTTCAGGGCCCTAGTCCTTTTCCTTTCTCACAAAAAAAGTGGAGGCTTGGTTCAGTGAAAGTCAAAGGGAAGGGCGGCTGTTTCTCCAGGTCAGGAAGGATACAAGGGGTCAGTACTTGGCATTAACTAGTGCCTGGTGGTGAGGTCTAGGGGAGGGGGGACACTCGTGCGCTGGCAACATGAAAGAGGCAATACTGTGCAGTGGTTAAGGTCAAGGGCACTAGAACCAGACCGTCTGGGGTTGAATCCTGGTTTCTCCACCTACGAGCTTGTAACCTTGGTAATGTCTCCAAGCCGTGGTTCCCGTGTCTGTAAGATGGGAAGAATAACAGCGTCTCCTTTATGACAGTTGTCGTTAGGACTCAGTGGGGCTTTAGCATAGTTTTTGGCAATAGATACTATTATGGATGGAGCGCCGCATGTAGCCCTAGATCCACTATCTGAAGGGACACCTCGTCCAGACCCTGACTCAAATTCCAGGGCCTGGCTGACAGTGGCCAAAGTGCCCCATGACCCCACCACCACTGGGAACTTTCAGAGGGAGAGTTGGGTGGGGCCCTGCCCGCCAGGGCCTTTCCAGCTGGGTAATTCTCCGAGAGCTCTGGGGTAGGGGTCACGGAGGCAGCCAGCCTCTAAGGGCCCATTGTTCTTCTCTGAGCTGGGAAAGATGCCTTCCCCCCACCTCTCTAACTCTGTCTGCTCAGAGTGGACCAAAGATCAACAAACACCGCCCGTCTCTCCTTGCCCAGCTCACAAAGGGCTTCAGTGTCTCACAATGGGCCTGTGATGCCCAGCCTTCTGAGCTTATCGGACCCGTTCACAAACAAGAAGCTGAGGCCCGCAGGGAGGAAGTCGTGTATGTGACGTCCCATAGAGGGAAGTGGCTCAGCCAGGATTCGGTCTCCCTGTCCTGCATCCAGGACTTCGGACTTAGGGGCACAAGAAATGCACAGCTGTGCATGGACAGCCCCACACACAGCGCGCACAGCTTCGGGGGATACAGGGGGTGGGGCGGCGTCTGGAACCCTCCCTCCTCAGCGGTCAGGTGGTGGTAGCTGTTTTGTTTTCTCTCTAGATGAGCTTCACGTCCCAGGTAACCAGAGCAGAAGTCCTCAACTTGTCTTTTCTCCCCAGGTGGGATGTCTACTGCTTCAAAGGCCCAGGGTACAGCTGTGACCATGACTTGGCCTAATGATAAAGCGGGAGGGAGGGGAGCAGGACCCAGGTGCCCGCCCTACGTGGTGTGTTGCCAGAAAGCATGACCAAAGGCCAAAGGGCTGTGCACATGACTGTGGTCTCCTGAAGTCCAAGGACCTGGAGAGACCAGAGTCTAGGGTGACCCATCCAGGTTTTCCTGGGTTCGGGATGTGCAACTTTAAATTTTTTTTTATTTTTATTTTTTTAAAGATTTTATTTATTTATTTGACAGAGAGACAGCGAGAGAGGGAACACAAGCAGGAGAGTCGGAGAGAGAGAAGCAGGCCTCCTGCCGAGCAGGGAGCCCAGTGCAGGGCTCAATCCCAGGACCCTGGGATCATGACCTGAGCCGAAGGCAGACGCTTAACCACTGAGCCACCCAGGCGCCCCGCAACTTTCAATTTTAAAACCTGGAAAGTTCCAGGCAGGCGGGGATGAGTTGCTCACCTGAGTGTCCCACATCTTCCAGTCTGGGAAAATGAGACTCCCCCAGGAATAAGTAGAGGAGACTGGAGACGAGGGCCAGGAAGGAAATGAGAGCGTTAGGGACGGGAGAAACCTGGACACACAGTGGTTGGCACTCTGCAGCTTGGGCCTGGGCCGCCCCACTCCTCATTTTCATGTGGGTCCTTCCCATCCCAGTTGAATCTGTTGGAGTCAAGCCCCTCCACTCCAACAAAGATACCCAGAGCCCTGGGACCTTCTCCCAGGTCCTCTGCCAGCCTGGGTTAGTCAGGCTCAACGGGCCCTCTTTTCACCTTCTCTCCTGGGCACTGTCTCAGACCCCATCTCTGGCACAGCCCAGGCAGGGGGCCATCTTTCCAAGTCCCCAGAGCGCTCTGTTCCCAGGAGATAGGACAAACTGGAACTCAATGGCTTTCTTACCTCCTTACAGAGGAAAGGGAGGTAAAGGTGACCAGAGGCAATGGAGAACCTCAGCCTCAGTTTCCTCAACTTGTAAACAGGGGTACTGTACCTCTCTTGTAAAATGGTATTAAGCATCACATGACCCGCTGCTCAATAGACATTTGCGGCAGAGGCTGTTGGAGGGGACTTAGTCCACTCAGTCCCCAGAGGAGATGTCTGTCTCAGGTCCACATGTCACTCAGGTTTCTGTTTCTTCAGGCCTTCTGCTCAACTCGGGTCCACGAGAGTCCGCCTGTTGCCTCCAGGGAATGGCAAGATGGGAGACGTTGAGGAAGGGAGAGCTAGGGGTGGGGGAGGGGAGTGGAAAGGCTGCAATTTAGGATGGGAAGAAAAGGTTGGATGAGGAGGCAGTCGCCATTGTTGGGAATTGAGGGGTTCGTAGTGGTGGCTCCAGGCAGGATTTACCTGTGATGTCCAGACTTCTGGAGTTCAGCACATGGAGGCACAGGTGGGCTAGTGAGGCCTGGCCCTGGGCCAGGTATCCTTGAGCCCCGGTAGGCCCAGCGGACCTGGCGCCCAGGGGAAGGAACAGACTCCCCCTGCACCCCAGCCTGTGCAAATGCCCAGTGGTCAGGGCCCTGTTTTCCTCTCAGGCCCTGACAGGGGCAGTGAGCTCCATTAAGTTCTTCCTGTCTGAGGCCTTCCTGGGGCAGCACTTCGAGGCGGTGGAGTTGGAAGGCAAGGAGCCCGAGCCGGGAGACCTCTTCCTGTTCAGGCTGTTGTCCCCCACGGGACGCTGGTGCGGGGCCCACGTAGGAGTGTACTGTGGCCGCGGGGAGATCATCCATTTCGAAGGTGAGCATCTCCTGCTGAGATGCCGGCCCCAGTCTGCGAAGAGAGGCTGCCTGTCACAGCCCTGCGCCACCCGTGGGTGGGGCCCATGGGAGTGAAAACTGCAGGTCCCAGGCTGGAGGCGCGGGTCTCTGGAAAAGGGTACTTGGGCCCGCAGGGTATGGGGCTCAGGACCCCCAAGTCCTGGGATATTTGGGAGCAGGATCACGGGGCTAGGGTCCCGGGACCCACCCCGGCTCTGATCTACAGCCATTGGGCCATCCCTGTAGGGAGGAATGTCGCCGGCCAAGGGCCTCACGCGTTTCTGGGCTCCTGCGAAGGCATTGTATCCAAACACGGGCAGCGCCCGCTGCAGCGCTCGCGCTCGCTGTGGCGTGTGCTGCGTAGACGTGGCGGCGTTGACCACGCGGCCCTGGAGCGCCGTGTGCGCGAGGCCATGGACACCGACCCGCCCCCCTACCACCCCACGCGCAGCAACTGCGTGCACTTTGCGCTGCGTCTGCTGGGCCCTGGGCCCACCCTGGACCCCCTGCAAATAGACGGCAGTCCCGTTAGCTCGGTGAGTGTGGCTCCGTTACCCAGGCAGGACCCCACCCCGCCTCCCACCCTGCCTCCGCCTCCACAGCCAGTTAACAAACACGGCTAACCGCAAACTCAAGATCCACTTTACTCGGCCGGACCCAAAGCACCCAGAAACAAAGCAGGCCTGCCAACTCGAAGTTCCACTTCTCTAAAACTCTTTTGGGCCCACTCCAGGAAGGCCCCAGCTCACAGATCTTGAGCACATCTATTTCCTCCAGCCTACCAGCTTCCAAACCCAGACGCTGCGCTGGTCCTTGTTAACCCCCTTTTGCATTCCCCCAGCGGAACCTACCTACGGAGCCCATCTTTCTGGCCATTTACACCCAGGCCCACAAATTCTGTTTCTGATACCACACCGGGTACCTAGTCTAGATCAAGACTCAGCCCTATGAACTCCGGCTCTCCAAGTCAAAACCTCCTTTCCTCCTCTTCCTCCTCCTCCTCCTTCTCCTCCTCCTCC